TTGTGCTCTACCACAGCATCTCAACGTGCTAAACATGCAGGCTAGTGTTACATATGGAGTGGTAATTCGTGTCGAGAAAATGGTTGATATTAATAAAGAAGGGGGAGATGTGGGAGTGTGGCCATGGGGGTCGGAAAGCCCCATGGTTGATGATAACATCAGACTCTTAACGATGAGGCTATCAGGAATGTAAAAGAATTTAGAGGAAACAAAGAAGGGTGATTCAGGAGATGCCATGCAGTCTCAGGGTTTCTTGTTCTCCAGCTGTTAAGGTGTTAGAGGATGTTGCAGGAAGCTTGGCCGAAAGCACGACAGACACCAGTAGAGTCAGATTATGCTCCAATTTTATTGCCAGAATAGCCTAACTTTTATAGTGAACTTAACAGGGGCAGACAGTGTTTCACACAAGATTATTGGTCAAAAGCACTCAGACAAACAACTACAAGAAAACAACCCTACCTGCAAGAAAACAACCCCCCTTGTGATTAGCAGTCAAGAAAACAACCCCCTTGTGATTAGCAGTCACGTAGACCTTGTCCTTGAAGCCAGCTGCTGGTAACAATATTTTTCTGAATTCCTCAATTGGGCGATGTGGGAATCACTGTCGTGGGAGCTTCTCATAGTTATTCTGGTAGCTTGGTTTGCTCAGCTACAGCAGGCCATGAGATTTGCTGAGGCCTACCCCTGGTTGCTTAGAACAAGCTCAGATCGAACAACTGTTCCACGGACTCAAGTCCACATCCTTTGTGCCAATTCCTAACATTAAGGCATAGAAGTTGCTGGGTGTTTGCTGTTGCTGTTATTTGCAAAGTTGTTTGACCAATGAAAAGTTGTTTTGAAAAGAACTGCTGTGGGGAGAAGGGTATAAGAGGGGAGCCTGCCCTCAAGATAAAAAAAAAAAAGAGGCAACACGATATGATGAAGTTATGTCATCAATTGCGGGTTCGAGACCCTCCAATTTTGGCGTGGGGAAGCAAGTGATCAACTCAATATGAGTGGTAATACAAGCTTCAACTTTATTGCGCAGATATCCGTATATTTATACACACAGCTATAATTATGCCTACTGGTCACTATCCTATTGGCTAAGCCTAAAAGTGTTGCAAAAAATACTGTTTCTCCTACTTGTGGTTACAGCGCATAAGCTACTCCCTTATCTTCCCAGGCCTCAGATCCACCTGTTTATCTCTCTCTCAAGGACAGACTGCTCTTTGCATATTTTCACAAAAATGCTTCTCATCTGGCCTACTCCATGACTATAAACTCTCAATACAACAATCAATAAAGAAGCAGAAAGAAGGAATGAAAAGGAACAGGCTACCAGAACAGAGACCAGGATGGGAACAGGCACATTAATCGCCTCATGAAGATAGGTTTGGACAGACTCAGCAAACTGCTCAGAGAAGCTCGTACAGAAAGTTGCTGGAAATAGGCGCACTGGAGCTGGAGAGAAGCTCCAGCTGTGAGAAGCGGACCCGCACACACAACTGCCCCTAGCTGGTAAGCAGTTGTGCATTACGGGGAATCGTACGTCCTTAGGAACAAAGACTGTCCTGGTAGCCTTACAGCTCCTTCTCCTTATTAAGGGTTGGACAGTTTATGAGCCTGAAATATGGGACCAAACTGAGGTCAAGGTATGGGACTCTGCAACTAAAAATGACAAGGTTGCAGTGGGATTGCTCGGCACCTGGCAAGCAATCTCTGAGGCCTTAAAGAGCCCTGTGGGACCACAGTCAGACACGTGTGGTTTGCCAGACAGTGAGGGAACTGCGGGCTCGTTTACTGATCTGACTGCTACGCCATGGGCCCCTCTGCTGCTACAGCCATTGAAGGCTTTTGCTGTTCCGCCCCCTGGTGACCTGGACGTGCCTTTTGACCCAGGCCTATTGGCCTTGAATAGGAGCTGTCTATGCTTTTCTTCGATCTGGGAAGAACGGGATACATAAGGCCGGCCCAAAGACCGAGTTGCTTGACAACTTAAAGCGAGACATATTGTTCAAAGGGAATGGAAAATGGAGACTTGTATGTAATCAAGAAAAGGAGTGGAAAATGGAGACTGTTGAGTTGTGGAACTTGGAGGATTGTTTGTTACCTTTTCTGATCGTGAATATGTATAGGCGTACTCGATTTTAGTAAGTTATGGAACTCAAAGGATTGTTTGTTACCTTTCCTGATTGTACGTATGTATAGGCATACTCGGGTTTAGGATGTAAAAGCAATGTTTTGTATATTTAGAATGTTTGATGTTCGTGTGTGCGTGTTGGTGGAGCGTAGACTCCCTGCACACCCAGCGCTGTTTACTTGCCTTTTATGCCTTTTATAGCTTTTATACCTTTTATAAATATTTCTTTTATAAATATTACTAAATTCAGATTGAGTTGAGACTTCATTTATAACGCTAGCTAGAAAAGGCTCACTGACAGATAGCGTGCTCCTGTGAGTCCTCCGAACATGCGAGTGGTTACAGGCAAGCTTGGCTCTCAGCTGCTTCTGCATGAGCAGAAAAGACTTCTCTAACTTCTCTCCAGTTGCATTTTCTGGTGCCGGAGCTCAGAAGGCATCCTTCCCATGGCAAAACACCAATTTCATTAATTCTCTAATGTTTGCTGTTGCAGGCTGGCAGATTGCCCTTTTCTATTGTAGAGCTGTGGCTACAGAACAGGATTTAGAAGTTGGAAACCATCTTCCAGGGCCTATAACTTCTGCATGGCTGTCGTGCACAGAGCCCATGGATGCTGGATGGCTCAGCTTTCCCAGTGGTCTTCACCCAGCCCTGAGGGCTTCATCCCAGTATGTGGGAGTAGAGAGACTGTGTTGTGAGGGATTGGACCTGCTTCCTCAGCCCCCAGCCGTGTATATGGGGTATGAAGATGATGTTGATAAGCTGCTGGCAAGGTTTTTTAGCTGTCTAGTAACTATACCAGTGTAGAAGACACGCATGTAGCTCCTGCCAAGAAATCTTGTAGCTAGCCCCATTCTGAGTTTTGTTGTTTCTTGTAATTTTAATCTCAGTCCTTGGGCTGTTTCAAGCCTTAGATCTCCTGAAACTGCATGTAAGCACAGGAATGGGCTTGGGAAAACCCTGGTAGTCCCAAGAAGTCTGCAGCTATGAGATGCAGTTCTTAAGGTGAAGTAAATCTGCCCTGCCCTTGGTAAATCTCTGCTCTGCTCCCAGTCCTGGGCAGCACATTTTGGAGCCAGGTATCGTCTCACTGCAGCAGCTTATTTCTGCAGTGGTGTGGTGATAACAGGCGTTTGCCTGCTCTCTTGGAACAGTGCCATTCATGTAACTGACCTTAAACCAAGGGCTAGGATTGTTTAAGCAAATCCTGAGTTGTTTGCTTGTGAGCATGCTGGGGCAAATTCCTGTGGTGGAAGGACTTGATGCTGCCGTAACATACCCATGTGCCGCCAGTAGCACCAGCAGATGTGCAGCACGTAAAGCCATGTGAGCTGCTCAGCTTGTTTTATAAAGTTGAACAGAAAACCTTCTGTTCTTTGCTCCCTGGAACTTTGGCCCAATAAAAGCTGGGTTATGATGCAAAGATGTATGCCAGTCTGTAAGTAAAACTGTAGCCAGCTGCTTAATCACTCATGATTTAATTTGTTTGCCTGCCTGCTTATATTTCTGGGACCTGGGACAAAACCTTCCCATGCCTTGTCCTGTGAACAAGGTCAGTGACCACCTCCTGGGCTGGGTGCTTCTCTAGAGATCCCACCTGGGGCTGGCGGTGGGAGTCCTGGCAGGCTGAGCAACACTGAGGGGAAGATTTAGGCTCCGCAGCCCAGAGCATGGTGCATAAGCCCCATTTTCTGAGAGGAGCATTCCTGGCATTTAACCTGTCCAGGTTCAGCCCTTTTTCCCTACTTCGCTGGCTTTTCCAGCTGCTGCGAGTGGCAGGGCAGCACAGCAGTCATATCCAGTGCTGGGATCTCTGCAGCCTCTGCACAACTGACTCAGCTCAGTCTTGCTCCACTGCCGTCTGCTGACCTTGTGCATATGGAAAGGCAATGCTCACTGTCCTGTCCCATCCGCGTTTGGTTCATTGAGTTGCACGGATTTATTAAACAGACACAAACAGCATTCAGACATGTTTGTTGTGGCAAGAAGTATGATATTAAGAACCCAGGTAGACCAGTTTTATTCTCACAAGAAAGGCAAAAAGCCCTGGGTGTCAGTTCACAGAATCACAGAACTGTAGGGGTTGGAAGGGACCTCGAAAGATCATCGGGTCCAACCCCCCTGCCAAAGCAGGTTCCTCAGAGCAGGCTGACCAGGTAGGCATCCAGACAGGCCTTGAATATCTCCAGAGAAGGAGACTCCACAACCTCCCTGGGCAGCCTGTTCCAATGCTCTGTCACCCTCACCATGAAGAAGTTCTTTCGCATGTCAGTGCGGAACTTCCTGTGCTCTAACTTGCAGCCATTACCCCTTGTCCTGTCCCCACAAACCACTGAGAAGAGGTTGGCTACATCCTTCTGTCCCCCACCCCTCAGATATTTATATACATTGAGGAGATAGAAGTCAGTTAAGCAAGTGTTTAACAAATCTTCTCTCTGGAAAGATGAAATTAAAATTTTTGCACTGGCACATGTAGAACAGGTCTTCTCATCATAGCAAATGATTTTAGCCTGCTTCTGAACCCAGCAAGAAAACATTTTCTTGTCTTTTCACATCTATTTTGCCCTGTTGAACAACAGTTGCTGGATAGTGCTGCATGAATCAGGACATGGCAAACGCCTTTTGGCTTGTTCTCAGGACTGACCTGGGCTGGTAAGGCTCAGATATTTAAGTGTTGTTTATTTTTTTTTCTTGCTTAGTTACAAAGACTGCTTATAAGAAACTAGGGTTGTACTGTGGTTCTACATGGACGCTGGTATGTAAAACGAACTGCTCAATGGGCTTACTTGAAATTGTTTTCCACTTTTTCATTGTCATGGTAGCTTGTTGATCTCCTGTTGTTCTGTTTCCTAACTAAAATATTTTTTTCTTTTTGCAGGCTCACATTAAGTTTCCTATTGACTATCCATATTCACCACCTACCTTCAGATTCCTGACCAAAATGTGGCACCCCAACATTTATGAGGTAAGGTTTTTAAAAGAAGTTTTCCTAGGCATGTGAGAAGGCTTTCTAGTTCCTTAAATTTTAGTACTGTCCATACTTCCATATCTCTAGCCATAACTAAAGTGGTAAGCTGTTTATGTTAAATGTCAGGTTTGTGGTTCAGCAAGAGTTAATTACTAAAATTTGTAGGAAAAGCTGTTCTTGCAGGCAGGGATGGAGCCTTTCTCCTACCTGCAATTGCAGCCTGTAGCCCCAGATGAAGCACTGTACTGCAAGTGCTGGCAATTTTAGAGGATTCTTGGATGAAAGCTGGTTTGGTCTTTGTGTTACCCTACTGTGATACTTACACAACTAGTGGTTATCTGTATGCTGTTCAAGTACATCTTTGTTTTTGGCTTATCCCACTGTTTTGTGTGATGCAACAAGATGTAACGGGGAAACAAGAAACAATCTTCTGCGAATGAAGGAGCTTGGTTTCAGGGCACTCTGACTGCAGAAGAACCAGAGCTGGGCTAGAGTCCAGCTTCAGGAGTCCTGTGCAGCCTGGTTGCTCTTCAGAAAAGACTGAACAGATACCTCTGGGCTAAATGTCTGCAGGCCAGCTTGGAGCAGCACTTAGTTCAGTGCGTGTGTGGGTCACGTTCAAAGGGTAACACCTGTGGGCTGTTGCATCCGTAATTGGATCATGGTATGAGTATGTAGCAGCTCCGGAAGGGGAACGTTTGTATACAAATGCTCTTCAGAAAGCAGCACTCCCTAGCTTGAAAGTGTTGTCTCTGATGCTGAGAACAGGCTGCCTGGAGAGGCTCGGGGTAAAGGCAGCACGGGGAAGTGCTGTGCTGAGGATGTCTGGTGCATCCCGGCACTGCGTGAGCATGGGGGCTGGCAGGGTCAAGCTGTTCTCCTGTGCCACTGTTTGGGCATAGCACAAATTGCCCTGCGTGTGCCACAAATAGGCTAGGCTGTGTTTCTTGCTGGGCTTTCGTATATCAAGTGATCTTTAGCTTATCAGCCTGGCTGAGCTGAACTGTCGTGTTACAGAGCAGCAGCTCAAGACAGACTTCAACAGTGCTGGTGCAAAGACAGTGAGAAGGAGTGTTTCGTTTCATGGGTGCGATGTTGCTTCTAATCTTAGTGCAATCAGTTCAAAACTACCCAATTTCAATGAGCCGTATTTGAAAGTTGAAGGCCTGTTTTGGATTAAAATTTGATTTAAGCTTTTAGTGGAGGCCAGTCAGGTTCCTGTTAAACTTTAGAATATTCTAACCACGTGTCAGCCTGCTAGGACTGCTGCTTGGAGTCGTTTGAGAGGCTAAACATTTTTTCACAAATGTTCCTGTTAGTACAGCTCTGTCATCTTGTCACAGGTCTCTGAGTTTCTGCAGGCTTCCTTTGGGTCCCGTTCAAAACAGGAATGTCACTTCCTCACTGTGAACAAACGATGGCTTTGCTTGATGCCTTGGGCTTGGAAGGTCCTTTTCTATAAAGCTGCTGCTGCTGGATGTCCATCCTGAATGAGTACACTTCATGTCACACTAAACTGCACTGATGTTCTAGTCAGAAATGCCCAAAAGCCTGTCCAAACTTCAGTGCAGAGCAGGGTAGTAATCCGTCCTAATTACTGGATGCTCAGGAGGATTGCCTTGTTATGCCCAGGGACTTCCTAAAATCAGACATCTGATAGTCTTCTGGCTTGAGTTTTGGACTTGACATCAAATCTAACATATAGCCAAGGATGGTGTTTTTATGTACAAACCAAATCTTGGAAAGGCCCAGTCCCAGTGGGAAAGATGAAAAATTGACTCCAGGAACAACTGAAGGTAGGAGGAAAAAGTAAACCCGCATTTAATACTGGGGTTTTTATTTTTGAGGTAATAAGGCATTTCAGTTCTGTCATAATAAAGTATAGGCTAGTTCCTGTGCTTTTTCTTCCTCTGGCTTATAAATACACCATCCTCCTTGTTCCTGTCTTTCAGGATATGTGTGTATGTAGGATAAGCTCTCCCCTTGCCTACACTGATCCCTAAAATCTCGTGCTGATCTCAAGCCCCACGATGCTTGTGCTCTTCTAGACTAATGTAGTGCTACCCTATTTGAATTCTCAAAGATGTAATGTTGATTGTTGAAAAAAACAAACAAACAAAAAACCCCACCAAAACCTAACATCCTTATTTCCCTCTTTGTTTTCACATTGCAAAATATCTGTTGGTCTGTGTGCTGCTTGCTTGATGACATGAGGGACTTGCCCAGTGTGCTACAATGCTTTCTTTTGGTCAGCACTAGGTTTTTCTGGGAGACGTTTAATGGAGAAACTGTGTAGGCTAGGGGAAATTATGAATAAATACAGAATAGGCCATAGACATAAATGTAATTTAGCATTAGCAAGGTTAATTTCACCTTAAAGTGATATTAAAAATATTTATGGATTGTGCAAGTCTCTTGGAGCCCTAAAAAACAAAGAAACAAATGAACAAACAAAAAAACAACTGCCTTGTTATGACAAACTGTTCCAGCAACAGAAGCGTATGCCTGGGTATTCAGCAGCTCCAAGTGCTACTTTGCTTTTTGTAGTTATGTTCTTGACAAAAAGCTGCTTCAAAATGACATCGGCTTGCTAAATTAGCATACCTGGCAGGTTCAGTGCGTAGCTGAATGTAGCTGAATTCTGGATACCAATTGCAAGCCTCCACCATTGAAGTAGGATCTAATTTGACTGTAAAACAAATGTCATTGTTAATCATGGTGAACTGAAACATTTGGGAGGCTCCTCAGGTGAGCTGCTGCTATCTGTAGCTGGGATCGCTGCCTGGGGTTCAAAGGCACAGATGCTACCACTGAGAGCAGTGCTGCTGCTTTGTGCTCCAGCTGCCAGGGGCAGAGTGTTGGAGGGTCCTCAGGACATAGCCGAGAATGGGGAGCTGCCTGTTTGCAGCCTCCTACAAAGCTGATCCTCAGTTTCTCTTGTTCTTCTGACCAACCCGTACATTAGATCAAGGTGACAAGTGACAGCCTTGTCATTCACCCCATCCTGCGGGGTGGCACTGGGACCCCACAAGCCCCTGGGGTTGGCTTTGCTGGAGGACATCAGCTGTGGTGAACATTGCTACAGTACTCCTGTGGAGTAATCATGTCAGGGTGCTGTTGCTGATAGAAACCTGTAAAAGTAACCTGTAAAGAGCAACGGCTGCCTCCTCTTCCCCGTCTGCTGGAACTTCCCCGTCCACGACTCACTTCTCTGTCCCCTCGTTTTTCTCTGTTCTCTTTGTTTTCTGAACTTTCTTTTCCAAGGCTTTTCTTCTTTCCCCCTACAGTCTCCCAAGAAGTCTATTTGGATAGAATAGAATTAGATATAAATGTCAAAAAGAAAGAGGCTTCTCTGTATACTACTGCCTCTCACCCCTCCAGGTCATAGGAAAAAACAAGTTTTTGTATAATATCACATCAGTAAATACCTACCAGAAATTACACTGACACAAGTGGAAAACCAGGCTGTATTTTTTAGGAAAAGACAAGAAAGAAACAAGTTACAGAAGTTAAACTTTCTTATGAATGTGAGAACACCAAATATTTCCAGCTACACATTAATTATAAAAATTTTATATATCAATTTTAACTAGTCCAAAGAAGCCTAAATAAAACCACAACATAGAAAAAAACAGAGCAACATTTTCCCTTTTAACTACCTCCATAAACCTAACAAGGGAAAACGCACAGAATGTAGTATAATTGCCTAAAGCAACTAGTAAAATAAAAAAAAATATTCACATTTTAAAGAAAATGTACAGCATCTGTAGCAGGAAGAATGGCCGAAAACACGACAGACACTAGTATGGTCAGATCATGCTCTCTATTACCCAAATAGCCTGACTTTTATAGCAAACTTAACAGGGGCGGATAGTGTCTCACACAAGATTATTGGTCAAAAGCACTCAGACAAACAACTGCAAGAAAACAACCCCACCTGCAAGAAAACAACCCCCTTGTGATTAGCAGTCACATAGATCCCGGCCTTGAAGCCAGCTGCTGGCAACAATATTTTTCTAAATTCCTCAATTGGGCGATGTGGGAACACTGTCATGAGAACTTCTCATAGTCGTCCTGGTACCTTGGTTTGCTCAGCTGCAGCAAGCCATGGGATCTTTGCTGTTTCAAAAATCCCTCAACAATTCCCCTTTTTTCTTTTTGAGCAAAACAAGCCCAATGTAACACTTTTACAAGTAACCCTTTAACCACACTTATTACAATACAACACGCAATGATTGCGTGATTAACACCACAACAAACAGAATCTTTAATCCCTCTTTGATTAATCCCAGTAACCATCTAGGCATCATTCCAAACAAATCAGTGAGCCATTGATTGAAAGGATTGATATCATATTGAATCTTTCTCATGCGCTCTTTCAAGAAAGTAATGGATTTGTGAATTTACTCATTATGATCAGAAAGGTTCATGCAGCACATTCCCTCAAAGTCCTCACACCCATGCCCTTGAGCCAGGAGCAAGAAGTCAATAGCAGCTCGATCCTGTAAGAGCGCATGGCGCAGACTATTTTGATCTGGTAACATCTCCTCAAGTATCTCTGTTGTGGCATGGGCTTGCTTCTCGGCCCAGCATGCCAATTTTTCTAAATTATTAAGCATGGCCGCAGCTGCTGCTCCTGGCACTAAAATTGCCAATGCTGCTCTAGCTGCAACACCAAGCAATTCAACATTACAATTGCAATCCGGTGCAAGCAATGCCCATTTATGTCCGGTGATCTCCCACAACTGTGACAAGCTAGGAGCAAATATAGTAAGTTTACCTAAGTAACATGGACCTCCGATAGCATTTGCAGGGATACCTTGCCAGGCCCTATCCCTGCAAATCAGAAAAACATCAGGAGGTAAGGCCATAGCTGTAAGATTGTTCCAAATGCTGTAGTTGTTACCTCTTGTCTCCGCACCATAAGCCCCTAAACCCTGCCTAGCAGTGTCATTGTAACCACAGGTGTTACTTGTATTTCTGTACCCGTATGGCCCTTTCCAAGTTCCTGTGGCAGGATCTCGGTAATTCATTCTTATTTGAAGGAACACATTTGGTGCTTCTATATTTATTGTTTGAAAGTGAATACTCGCAGGAGGGTCTTCTCGGTCACTAGTCAAACATAAGTGATTCAAGACAAACACCGCCTCGGACAATCGCTCATCGATGTTCTTGATCTCTTTTAACCTCACTAATTGTTCCTTTAAAACCTGATGTGATCGTTCAACCATCACTTGGCCCGTGGGAGAATATGGAACACCTGTGATATGCTTTACTCCCCACATTTTCATAAATTTTCTAACCCTTTTGCTGACATACACTGGACCATCGTCCATCTTGATCTGCTGTGGCACTCTCATAATGGCCACACACACCATCAGATGTCTACGCACAAGGTGTACTTTTTCTCCCACCCTGTGCCGTTGCCCATATGAATCTTGAAAAAGTATCAATACTCACCAATTTGTCTGCTTGTGAATTACCTTCTGCTAACCCAATTGAGAACTGATGACTATGCATATGGATAACACAGTAAGGTGCAGTTCTCCCCTGAATGGCATCTCGCAGCTGCAGAATCAATAACAATCTGTCCCTCTTAGTTTGCCGTATCAAGGCATCCTCTATCCGTTTTACCATGTTGACAACATACAGAGAGCCTGAGACAAAATTAATTGGCTCATGCATCCAGCACTGACAAGCCAAAAAACTACAGACAGCGCCAATGTTTGTAATGAATCCCCTGTCTCCCCCGGAATTATGTATCTCCCGGAATATGTTCTCTATAATCCCCCGGAATTATGTTCTCCCAACTTCCGTTCTCGTACCACACACACACAGCCTTCCTACTTGCCGCACCTGCATCAGTGTATACAGTGCGACCCACCACTGGTCGGGACGAAAGCCGTGGTACTATCTGCCATTTATATGATCTTATAACTTGCCAGAGAGGCCCCTTTGGAGTTCAGGAATGTACCAATCCCGGGTAATCTAACACAGCTTCTTGTAGTGGCATGGACTGCTGTAAACACCATTCCAAATGATCCTGAGTCATCGGCAGACTAATATCTCCTGGTTCCTGCCCGCTGATCTCAATACTCCGAGAGCAACCCTCACGTACTAACTGCGATAGCTTCTGCCCGTGTCTGAACACTCATTTTTGGCTGAATCTGTAGGAAAATCCATTCCAGAACTCGAAAATGCTGCCCTATCATTCCACCCTTGCCATCACCTGTGTCACTTATACTACTCCTATTACCCGTGCTGTTAGTGTCAGTGGCATCCTCCTGATACTGTTTCTGTCTTTGTCGCCCCTTACTCTCCCCCTTTTCTTTTTGCCACTGACCAAGCACCGCAAATGGATGAGACACATGATCGCTAATTAGGAAGGAGAGTGCAATGTCTGCTATACGGCTGCAACCTTAGAAGCTATTTGTGAAAGAGCCTGCCAGTGGTCATTTGTTAGTGTAATCTGTGGCTCTGCACTCCTGCACCGCAATAAAGGTAGTAATATAGCTAAGTTGTCATTAGTAATCCGTACAATGTGGCAACCCCACTGAATATTATCCAGGAACATTTGTACATTTATCAAATTATGTAACACCATAGTTAGATCACCTTTCTGGGGACGAATAGTAGAGTCTGACATTTTCCATCCCAAGTATAGCCATGGCTGTTTCTGTTGAACCTTCTCTGGGGCTATCTTCAACCCTGTTGCTTCAAAAGTATCCTGAATAAACTTTAAATCTGAATCCTGGAAGCATTCTGGCCTACCAAACCGAATGTTATCCATACAATGGTAAATAATTACGTCACACCACGCTGTCCGAATTGGTTGTAATGCCCAGGCCACATATAATTGACATAATGTAGGGGAATTCCTCATCCCCTGTAGAAGCACTAGCCATTCATCGCGCTTTGCCAGGGCCTTTTTGTTAATGGAGGGTACCGTAAAAGCAAATCTCTGACAATCCTGTGCCACCACATCTGGTTGCCTGGACTGATTGATAAATTTAGCATGTGGTTCCCCAGGGGCCTGTTCTACAGATGCGAATGGAGGTGCTTTCTTTTCCCCCGGGAGACTAAGAAGAGCCCTCAGTGCGAGCTGCACAGCTGTTTGGTGAATAATCGCAGGGAACTGCAACTAAATCTGGGTATTGAGATAAGGACCTGTCCCCTTTAACATCTCTGCAGTAATGCCATACAGAGGGTTCCCCGGTTGATGCGGTTGACCCGCTTCCCCCTGTGGTAACTGCAACCATTCCCTTTCAAACAATAACAATGGGGAAGGAGTTAACATTAAGCGCGCCAAGTTTCGACAGTCAAGTGGACACATTGGTTTTGCTTGAAAAATCCATTGTATTATCTGTTGAGCCGCCTGGGATTGTAATCCATAGTCCAAACCCATTTTTCGAGCTTGTTGTAAAAGCTTGCAGTCATGTGGCTGCCACAACCCAGTGCCTTGCACAGGGTCGATAATAATAGGGCAGGCCAAGGATGTAGCACGCCTATGCCTCTCTATGAAAGCATCACATATGATGTCGGAGCACCTGTCCCTCCTTGGTGCCGACGGTGTTGTAGCGACGGATAATGAGGGAGTCAGCTCCGGTGGGGCAGACAAGAAAGGAGGCTCCTCCGAATCCGTAAGTTTTAAGTTCTCGAATTTTACTAGCAGTTCTTTGAACAACTCCTCCAGTGAAGGTCAATTTTCGCAAGCTGCTGCTGCACCTCTCATTGGCGAAGCATCCCGAGTGGATTTATTGCTGCCTGGCAGCGGCACAGATGCTGGCAGCACAGCTTTATCAAGATTTTGATAAAAATCTTGGCGCAGGGGGTGGGAAGGGCAGCTCCCACTCCCCATCAGCACTCTGCCCCGATAGTCCCTCAGTTATTTCTGCCGCTGACTGATTTATTGGAGAGGTCATACCCCGAACCGCGGTGGGTGCAAGAACCGACGATAAAGATCGTGTCAGCCGCATTCCTGAGGTCTCAGGTTTCATACTCGGCGTTCTGTCAGTCCCAGACGGCACTGAGAAAGCTTGCGCTGCCGCCATAGCCAGCTGCCGTTTCCACGGATGCCTCCAATCTCCCATAGCAACTGGACTCTGGATGTCCTACGTCTCACCGCAATACGTCACTTTTCCGCGTCTCACCGCGATCTCTATATTTGGGTCTGTGCTCGGAGTCTCTCAGCATCTCTCAGGTCTCTCAGCGTCTCTGGGTCTCAGCCTGTTTGGGCGCCATATGTTGCAGGAAGAACGGCCGAAAACACGACAGACACTAGTGTTAGAAATGGCTCAATCTTCAAAATAGGATTAAAAAAAAAATAGGATTTATTAAAAGAATAGAGGTAAGCAAACAGCACTGGGTGCACCGGGAGTCTCCGCTCCACCAGGACGCACACCAGTTACATCAAGTAGCTGATTTTTATACTCCTAGACTAATACATATTCATTATTACTTCTAAAAAAAACAGGTTATTATAATTAGCTTCTGGGGTCCAGTCCCTCCTACTGGAGCATGCGCATCAGTCTCCTCTGGGGGTCTCTAGGGGTCTTTCATGCTGAAGGCTCGTAGTCTTCCTCTCCAAGTTTTTTCTTGTCCTTCCCCTTTGTACTCCTTTGGCACCGTACCAAGTTTATAGAACATCCCCTGCAGGTCTTGTCTCCCAGCCGTCCTTCAGCTTCTTTTTTTCTTCTTCTTAAACTCTTGGCCAGATATCAGAGGCTTGCATAGTATCCCATAACAGTCACTAGTTGTTATCAGTTGTTCTGAAACCCCCAGACATCAAAGACTTCATACAAACACAAATAACTTTCTTATTGACACTTCACCAGTAATTAAAACATTCCTCACCAGCCATTCACAGGGACAGTCACACCTATAGCAGTGTTAAGTTAATCTCGAAGAAGACAAAAAAAAAAAAGGCTGTAACTGTTAGAAATAGAAGTTCGGAACAACTAAAGCAAACAGGTTCATAAATTTGAGGAGTATTTTCTGAAGACTTGATAAATTGACTAGAATGAGGGGGAGACTGGGACACACTGCATCTGTGGTTCAAGAATTAAATTGCCAGTGCAGGGCCCAGAGGCAGACAGGACTGTTCTTTATGGACATGAATTGTTAAAACATTCCTAACACTAGTATGGTCAGATCATGCTCTCTCTTTATTACCCAAATAGCCTGACTTTTATAGCAAACTTAACAGGGGCGGATAGTGTCTCACACAAGATTATTGGTCAAAAGCACTCAGACAAACAGCTGCAAGGAAACAACCCCACCTGCAAGAAAACAACCCCCTTGTGATTAGCAGTCACGTAGATCCTGGCCTTGAAGCCAGCTGCTGGCAACAATATTTTTCTGAATTCCTCAATTGGGCGATGTGGGAACACTGTCATGGGAACTCCTCGTAGTCGTCCAGGTAGCTTGGTTTGCTCACCTGCAGCAAGCCATGGGATCACTGCTGTTTCAAAAATCCCTCAACAGTTTATAAATGATATGCATTATGAAACTTTGAATGTATATTCAGGTTATAACGCTGGTGAGAAAAACACAGCTTGAGGATTATGTAGCTGTATGGCTTCCATATGCTGCCAAAATATTCTTTCTCTTGCATGCTGGGAGGGAGGGACTTTCTGTGAAACCTTCAGGGAGCATCTCCTGCTTTTTCACCTGATATTTCAAACAGCTATGTCTTTGGGGAGCAGCCTCAGCCTGCCTTGCACCATCTGTTCAACCTCTACGCATCCCAGGAGAAGCACCTGATACCTGAGCTAGGATAGAGTGCTAAATCCCTGAATTTAAAGATTCTTGTAGCTAACTCAGTTACCACTGGGGAAGAAAAAAATTAACCCTACTTTAGGTCTCACGTGACTAAAGTTTATCTCTATCACAATGGCAGTATGTGCTGTCTAGAGACTGATTTAGTTTTACGTGACTTTACCAACTGTTGTTGGTTGCTTTGCTACATTCTCTAAACTACATTATCTAAAATATCTTGGCCTGAGATTGTTTTATTTCAATTTGCAGACTAAGGGAAGATTTTGAACATATTAATATGGCAGACCTAGGAAGGATTGAGAACTGTTTTCAGTTCTTGCACGTTTTTTTCATATCAACAAGGCAAAACTGCTCAAACACAGCCAGAGATGGAATTGAGTCTTCAGACCTTTACCTTGAGCCGGGCTGTTCTCAACTTTGCTTTCTGTCTTTCAGAACGGAGATGTATGTATTTCAATTCTTCACCCGCCTGTAGATGACCCGCAAAGTGGAGAGCTGCCATCTGAGAGGTGGAATCCTACCCAAAACGTCAGGTAATAGTGTGAACCAGTGGTGTACAAAGCTGACCTCAGAGGCCTGTCATCTCTCCTAGACTAAAGCCTGCGTTGGGAAAAGGTTTGGAAGGGAATTAAAGACTTTAGGGGGTTTTAGAGCTTGAATCAGGTAGGAACGGGATTCACCAAGCTGTCTGAAGATACTGGGGGTGTGCTTTGTCCTGATGCTGGGTTAATGATGTAGAGCCGTCTGCCATATTCACAGGTTTACATGTTCTTAAAGCGATCTCAAACATTTTAACCTTTCCCAAGGCATGTTATTCAAACTCTTCTAAGATACCAACTAGTAGAAAAGGACATCTCTGAGTATTCAGGCCCCGTAGGATTAAAATTATGCATAGTGCTACCTGCAGTTTGCCTCCTAATACTTGTCCCTATCTCCTGTCCTGTAGTGTGGTGTCTTGAGCAGTTAGCTAGGTAGTTCTTTTGCTGCCAAAACCAAACAATCACTAAGTACCAGCAGCATTCAAGGCTAGTATGTCCATTTTTGAAACATCAACTGGATTTCATTCTAATTTCAAGACACTACCAATAAAGCTACCAATAAAGAACTCACAGAACAAACACCAAATGGCAGATTAGTGACCCATGCAGCAGGAGTGACATAGGGAAATAATATAATAATAAATAATATTTTAAACTGTGTACTGCTGAGCTACGTTGCATTGTCCCTCTGCTCACATGGCTATTAACCATATCAAATGTATGAAAAAACAGTATATCTCCTCCAGTTGTTAGGACTAGACGTCAAGCAAGTTAAACAGAGTTTAGAAGCAGCTTAAGGAATTAATTACTTAGATCACACTCACATTCTAACTATTTCATTATATGCAGCACTGAAAGCTTGATGTAAAACTCATCTTGCCAGTTCTGGTTGCTGCTTTTCCTTACCACAATGTGATTTTTGGTGCTTACTCTCTTAGAATGTTTTGGGCTTAGGGGTGATGTCTGAGGAGAAAACATTCCTTGGATGTGTTGGCAAGTGGCAACAAAACTTGTCCTTAAATATTAGCCCACTGCCTGTTGGGCTGAGTGCCTCATACAAATGCTTCCTGCTGGGGTCCCATCTGGCTTTGCAAGGCTCCAGAGTTTGTCAGATTGAAGGCAGCAGGACTGGAGGTGCATGAGGGGAGCACAGTTCTAACGAGCTGCATGTGTAGCCTCCTTAGTTACTGAATTTTGTAAATCCTGCTGAGTATTGGCAATTCACTGCAGCTGCCCACGGCTAAGTGTCTGCAGGGTGGGATATCATTCAGCTTGGAGAGCACCTGTGCTTCCACCTCTAAAGGTGTCAACCATATTTGTTTTTATTTTTTTAACATGGACTTCCCTGTCACTTGGAGCAAGATGAGTTAGCCACAAGTAAGTATGGCAAACATCCAGCATTCCTGTGAAGGAATGCAGCTATGATCTGTGTGGCAGAGAATGCTGCTTATCCTTGTGTCCCCAGGGCCATAAAGCTGAGGAAGTGGTGGCAGGTCTTAGGAGCTGAGGGTCTTTGATCATTTTGGCTACCCTTCTCCATATCTCCCCTGGCTCCACTATGTACTTTGAGGTGTTCAATATTCAGCAGGTACACTCAGCACAATATTTGAGATGCTGCTACATCCATACCTTGTGAAGAGAGGTGATGCCTGGCCTCACTGCTGCTTTGCTTCCTGAGGATGCTGACTTTTGTTGGCTCTTTCAGCTGCCAACAGTGCATTGAGTTGCTTGACAAGCTGTTCATATCTAACATTTGACTTCAGCTAAATGGTAAACCTTTTACTTGATATCAGAGAATAAAAATGTGCTAAGACAAATCTACGCTTACCTCTAAACCTCTGAAAATGGCTTTGAGAAGATATAATGTGGATAGCAGCTGGAACAAAAAAAAAAAAACTTTCAGTAAGGTATGTAACAGGATGCACTGGTTGGGACTCCCAACCAGTCTACGTGATATCTGCTTGGGTTTAGATGATGAAATTCACCTATTTCTGAGCCTTCTATAGATTCAAGAAGACAAAAAGGCACTTAACAGAGCTGATTCCTTGAGCTTCTGCTGGCTTCTCTCCTCTGATGATAAAGGGATCTGGAGGGACTTGCTCTGATGAAGACAATGGCACTGTAAACATTGAAAGTAGTGTGACAGCTGATAGGGAGCAGCTGACAAGGTAACTGTTCCCAGAATGAGGAGGGAAGGATGCACAAAAGCACAAGGCAGGCTTGAAATCCCTGCTCTTCATGCAAACAGCTTGAATATAGTGTGGCCTGAATGAGAAACAGATCCCCAAGAACATTGCAGAAGGTCAGTCTGTATCTAGGATGGTGCAGTTTGCATCTGGTGCTGAGGGTGTTTTCAGTCCCCATGAGTCACTTGTCAGTGGTGTTGGGTCCCATGCACTGGGATCCCTTCTTGTTAGTGTACCTTGTGTACCCACAATAGTAGAGTTTGAGTCAAAGCAGTGTACAGTTCCAGAGGTACCAAAATTCCCGGAGCTGATGTAAAACCCTAGCTGGGGATGAGCAGCACAGTCTCACAACTCATGGCCACTGGCCTTGGTGGTGTGCTTAAGTGGCTTTGCACTGACTTTGGAGCCTGGGGCACTGCAGTAGAAATTTGCCCTTTCTCACTTTGTTTGAAGTAAGATGGGTAGAGCAGATGCTAAATCCAGCTACTAATTCCTGTCCTGGGCCTTCCCCAGGTTTTGCATGATCTAATCACTTAACTTCCTGGCTTCATAGCCTGGCTGGGAATAACCAAAGGCCTTTGAATAAATTGTTGAGATGAAGTGGAAGACGGGCACTCTCCTGCCCATCATTCCAGTCTGGCCAAGCAGTTTTTTCCAGAGCTGTCATTCTCTTCCTACTGAATTATGTCCTTTGGAAAGCAAATTGTAGAAGGCTCTCTTGATAGCCATGCTGAGCAGGCTGGCCAGACATAAGTGTTTTGTTTCAAAGTCTTTCAAGAAGCTAAGCATCCAAATGACCGAGCGTTTCCTGGCACTGTATCCCAGTTAAATGCACAGTTAGATGTGCTTAGCATATACTGCTCTGAGTGCACCTCTAAATCAATGTAAGTACAGAAGGGGCCCTAGGCTCCTTTAATCAATTCTGCAGGGCAGTTGTTGCGTACAGCTGTATTCCAGGACCTATTACTTGCCTGTGGTCTTTCCTTCAATTTCCATTGAAAGCTTTTGCCAGTGGGAGAACCTCAGGAGGGTGAAGATGTTGTGGTAGCTGCAGCCAGGTTGCTGCATGTGTAGAGCTGCCTGACGTGACTTGCTGTTGAGTTTTGTGCTTGTTATGGCAGTGTGAGTGCCAAGGGGCTGAAGCTCTGGAGTGCAGAGGGTTGTAGGAAATGCAGGAGAAGGGGCTGGGTGAGATGTGGTGGTAGCCCTCACTGAATGCTTGAGGAGAAGTGTACCTAGCTAGCTTGCTGCTGTTGCTAGAAACCCAGGAAAGCTGTTCATCTGCAGGGTTTATGTGCCTGGTTCATGCTGGTTTTGCTGAGGATTCAGTAGCTGAATCCTGCTGGTGCTTGGCAGTTTGCCTGGATATTGGGAAACATCTATGTTGTCCTTCCATTGCCACACGTGCTGCTGCAGCCCCAGAGGTGCATGGGCTGAGGAGAGAATATATCTGGCCACAGCTCCAACCTCTGGACTTCCAGTTGGGCATGGGGCAGCAGCACAGCCCTATCAGCAGGCCTCAGGTTGCTGCGGTCCTCCTTGTTCTGCAGGGGGACAGGCAAAGAGCCCGTCTCGCTGCTAGGGAGCTGCATGTCACCAGGAGCAGGCTCACCAAGCATGTTTCCAACCCTGTACCATCCCCAGGAGGTGTGGATGAGCTGAGTTGGTCTGAGCTGAGCTCTGCTGGTCACTGCTGTCACAAGGACGTGAACAGAAGTGGTGGGCCAGGTGCCAGAGTGCACTCGGCTCTGTGTTCCCTCCCCACACTTGTTTTCTTTTCTAGTTAGAATACAAGCTCTGGCTTCAGATAGCAGAGGAAAGGCCTCTGCAGCTCAGTCTGTGGGAACCCTTGGGCAAGGCAGTTGGAGCACTCTCTGGGCTGTACTCAATTGGTGCAAAACCACTTCGAAGTCAGAAGTGTTCCCCAGCCCAGCCTGGAGAGGTGCTGGGACCGCCTTAATAGCTTTTTGTGCTAGAGAGCTTCTCCCCTCTAGATTTTCTAGAGCACATTGCTGTCTGTAGTCAGGTCCTTGAGGTTTGTACTGTATCACCTTCCCCACGCTGCCAGACATGGTCTGAAGTTCATAAATACCTGCTTTCACTCTAGCTCTCGGTCAGTTGTGCTTAGCTTAGGTTTGACTTTAAACAATGCATTCTGATGCTTTTCTGATACCTCGCCTGGGAAAAAAAAAAAAAAGCTGTCAGCATCCATGACCTATGAATGCTTTAGCCCTGACCCTGCTGTTGTGGTTACCTTTTTCAGGACTATCTTACTCAGTGTAATTTCTCTGCTTAATGAGCCCAACACATTCTCTCCTGCCAATGTGGATGCATCAGTCATGTTCAGGAAATGGAGGGACAGTAAAGGAAAAGACAAGGAGTATGCTGAAATCATAAGGTAAGTTTTGTTCTGTGTGAGGCTGTGCTACCAGCCTCCTGCTCCGAATCCTGCAAAACAGACTGATTGCAGAACTTGCTGAAACCAGATTCTCACTCTGATTGCTTCTTTAGAAATGAATTCTACAGTTTTATTCCAAGTCCAGGTTTCTGGTCTCTAGATTTTTCAGCACAGAATTGGTGCAGACCTCTGGAGCAGAAGTACCAGGCTGATCTGTCTTTGAATTGTTCTTTTTTCAGACTAATCTGGCATGATGCTCCGCAAAACCTATTGGCTGCTAGTAAATCCCACTTGAAGTCCCCACTTGCCTTTGAGTACTGCTTGCATTGCTTAGGATGTGATTCAAACTGACTGCATCCTACTAATTCCATGCTTAATGCACTCATGAATCATAATCTTGTCCCTCCAATTTGAAGGAATATCAGCAAGATTTGGCAAGTGTTTGCAAAGCTTGGGGTTTGGTTAGCTGGGAGCACTGTTCAGTCTTGACTGTCCCTTGCTTGGAAGCTCATGGTTCATCAGGTGCTGTTGGAAGATGATATGAACTTGAGCCAGGGTAGCTTGGAACCACAAATGAGCAGCCCCTACCGTAGAGTGGCTGCTGTCTCGCTTGGCAAAATACCAACTACATCTGCATTGACTCAGCTAGCTGGGCATGCAGAGCAGAGCCATGGTTGGACCTGAGCGGGGTGGTTGCTGGCCTGAGCTGGGTGAAGAGCCTTGCTGGAGGTTACCTTTGTCCCCGGCAGCTCCGCTGGCTTCAGCAGAGCTGGCCTTGTTCCAAAACAGAGCAGGAGGCAGCTTGCAGCCCACCCTGGGGTGTTGGGGAGTGCTTGTGTCCTGCCAGCCCTGGGCAGCAGTGGGGTTACAGCTCTGCCTGCTCCCCTGGGGGAGCCGAGCGGTGCCAGATACCTGTGGGAATGCCAGGTTGGGGCATGTTGGGCTGGTCTTTGGTGGTGGGGGAGGCTGCAGATACCACCCCTGAAACTGTGATGGTAAGTCGCCATGGGAAATCCCTGAACAGCTCTTCTACAGCGGGGCAGTTAATGTAAAGAACCTTGCTCTGAGCCCTGGCAGGCTGCTCGTGCAGGGCCCAGTGCAATAACCAACTTCATATGTCGCTGGAAGTGTGGATGCTGCAAACAAACTTGGAGTACTCCCAAACCCAGGGCTATGGGAACTAAATCTGTTGCTGGTGCTGCTTGTGGTGCTTCAGCCAGACACGGGCGGTGGCTGAAACAGCTCCCTGGGCCCTGGGCTGCCAGGAGAGCAGGGCCGGGAGGCGGAGAGCTGCACCAGCGTGCAGCCCCAGTCACGCTGCTCTGTCCTCCTCCCGCAGGAAACAGGTTTTGGCTACCAAAGCCGAGGCAGAGAAGGATGGCGTGAAGGTCCCCACTACACTGGCAGAGTACTGCATCAAAACTAAAGTGCCTTCCACTGACAACAGTTCGGATTTGCTTTACGACGACTTGTATGATGATGACATTGATGACGAAGATGAGGAGGAGGAGGACGCTGAGTGTTATGATGATGATGATTCTGGCAATGAGGAGTCGTGACCTGCTCCCTCTATGCCCTTGTACTGCCCTGCTGACTCAGGCCAGAAGGGAGCAGCGGTAACCTAGCAGCAGTCCAGCAAAAAAAGTGTGTGTGTGGGTGGGGGGGATCAAAAACCTATTGTCTCCTTCTGTCTCCTGTTGTATGGATCTGTTTGCTCCTTTTTTATGGATCTCTTAGAGACCCTCAACAGAATGTCTGAATTCTTGCATTCTTAACCCTTTCATCACTGTATTATGATTTCTTTTTTTAAAAAGAAATTCCCCTTTTCACTTCTCTATGAAATGCTCACAGTGAAACAGGGTTGCTCGTGTTTAGGTTCTTGAATTCAATACAGTCTTGCATTGAGATGTTTAATGTATTTAAAGCTAGACCAAACCCATTGGAAGCTGGGTTTTGGGGAGCTCAAGTGCTGCGCTTACTGGGAAGAAAAAAAATCTACACAAATTGCCAAGGTTTAGCTGCTCCATTTACAATAATAGCATGTGTACATTCATTTAGCCTTGTGGTGGTAGCTTTTCCTTTTTAAGGTATGGGGCGGAGAGTGTAAAGCTAGTGTGCGTTGAGCTTGATGGGATGTTACTGAAAGGTACGGTATTCCTTTTCAGCCTGCTCAAGTTAGGAAATAGCTGGCCACTGAAGCCCCGGCAGGCACAATCAGCTTTGTCTCTGAAAAGGCTTGTGATATGAACCCTAAAATAAACACTTAACACTTCACGTCTGTACAACTCAGTCCTGGGTTGCTATTTATTTTTTTTCCAGGATAAATTGGGGTTGAAACAGTCCAGATTAGCTACACTGCTGCGACCTGCTGCCAGCTGCCCCTCTCCAGGAGCGCAGATGTGTCCTGCTGCCCCTGTGGCCACCTGTTGTGGCCAGCACTCATCCCAAACTAGTCGCTGGCATGGGGAAAGACCGATGGCCTCCTGCCCCAGTGCTTGCTAGCAGTGCATGTGCTTCCTGTGCCCTCAATCCAGTGCTGGCTGAGCCTTTTTTCTCTTGCTTGTGTAGATCAGGTGTGGGTAAGTACAGCCCTGCTGCAGCTATGGGCACCAGGGTGGGGTGGTGGTCATGGCAGGGGCCAGAAGGGAAGCAGGGATACCGGGCTCTCCCCCTTCCTCCCTAGCAGCCCCAGGGGTGCAGTGAAAACCCTATGGGGCTTGCCAAGCTTCTCAGCAGCATGCTTCAGCTGGTGCACCTGCATGTTCTTGGGAGCTCATGGCAGAGCTTGTAGCCCTCCCCTGTGGGCAGGGACATCCTGCATGCTCAGTTCTGCAGAACTCTTCCTCAGTACCCTGACCCCTTTGCAATGTGCTCTTTTTGTTTGGCTGTGGTGCAGCAGCCTGAATTCACCTTTAGGATGAGATTGCGAGCAGCAGCCAGCCCTGCCTTCACCTGCTGAGCGCTGGGGCTGCTAGCCCTGTGGGGTCAGACCCTCCCCTCCCAGTGGTACAGAGGAAGTTACCCTGATGAGAGCTGCTGCTGCGGGCACTTACTTATGCCCCCACCATGTATCGCAGGGGTTTTCATGGTATGGCACCAGCTGCAGGGGGAGGCGAGAGCAAACTAAGGGGAGAGGTGGTTGTGGGCATGGGGATGTGGTCCCCGCAGCACAGTGGCTCTCCCAGAGTGAGTGGAGAGGGGGAGGATGTCTGCCAGCACCTGGGTTCCTCAAAGGTTGGCTCTGCCCCCACATCCCTCCCTGCTGGGGGGACAAAAGGCAGTTGTGGTGGTGGCACCTCGTCCCTTAGTGCTCCCTGAGTGTCCTGCTTGTATGGTAGCAGGACTGCGGGACCTCTCCTGCCCTTTGCCAGCCTTGGGGTTTAGTGAGGCTGCTGCCCATCCTCCCCTTCCCATGGACTCAGTGCCACTGCCCCTGGCCATGGTGGGCCCAGGGCTACCCCAGGCCCCTGCTCATCACATCTTGCAGGGAAAGCAGCCGGCAGCTTGCAGTGTGGAATAGGAAGTGGTGCAGCGAGGGCCCTGCTGATGACCTGGTTTGAAATGAGGATACTGCATCTTTCAGAATCGCCCGTGTACTTTTGACTGTTTTCACTGTGTGTATCAGTCAGTCCAGTGACTTGCATCTTACAATACCAAGCTTGAAAAATATATTATCATGACTCTTCCGTTACCCTTTTTTTAAAGGGAAAAAAGTGACCTATTTTGACAATGTCTACTACTAGACTAATTTCTCTTCCCTAGTGTCCCTTGCAGTGTCATTGTTTGTTGACTTGCTGGGTTCCTTTTTCTGAGATGCAAACTGAAGTTTGAGTTTTTTGAAACTATTTAAAAGCTTGAGGAAAAATGTTTACCTGATCTGTGTATTCTGGTTTTTCTTAACCCCCTCGCACCTCTCTCAGCCACTATTAGCACTTACATTTGCAACTACAGCCTCCTTCAAATGCAGTTTTCAACCATTGTCAAATGAGCAGGGTACACTAGATTTCTTAGTAGTTTTCTTAGCTAATATCCCATGTCGTCTTTTTTTTCTTCACTATAATTTACCAGAAAGAATTAACTGATGCTTTTTTTTTTTTGTGTTGTCCTCTCCTTCAGTAGTTATATTTTGTCTTTTCTGCACATCTGTCTCCTAATAAAAAATAAAAAATGAAAATATCCCTGTACTGTAATGGAGCTGTTTTATTTGCCTGTGTTGTTTAAAGTTCTGAATAACAGCTCCTGAGATGTTTTATGATGCTTTCTACTGTCATGCAGTGCTGTAGGTACAGGTAAGCATACAAGAAAACTAGTGCCACCCATACAGCTAGAGGATGGAAGTTTTGCACCTCGGGGCTGTGGAAAAGCAGTAATGTAAAGGGGACAAGCATGGGCCAGTACTGGAAGGTAGTGGGGTGAGCACAGCTGCCACCCTCCCCCCCCAAGCATGTTTGCAGCAGGTGGCAGTGGGGAGGCTGCCTGCTGCTGGAGGGCTGCCGTTGTAAAGCCTGGGGCAAGCAAAAGGCTTCCAGTGCAGTTCTTGGCATGCTGCTTCAAGTATGTGAGGGGCTGGGTATGCATACTGACTGCTTCCAACACAACATAAGGGGGTGCTTCCAGACCGGGCAGCTGGCAAAAGTGTGGCGGATTTAAGGTAGAAAATCTGGTTATCACCCTTAAAAGTATTTTCTTTCCTTGTCTTCAACCATCAACAGGGCAGTAGTGCAAAAAAGCTCAGCGGCCAAAGATGGCTTCACAGTTACTGCCTCCGCTGCTGCCACAACCAGTGCCAGGCCCTGAAGGGACAAGCTAGAGGCAGCTCTCCCTCAGGAGCCCCTAGCCCTAACCTTCCTCTTGGTGTGCACATGCAGCAGATGCTCTGCCTGCCTAGCAAAGCTGTGCCCCCTCCTTAGGCATTGTGGCTGCTGCTGCAGGGACCAGGAGAGAGCACTGCAACCAAGGACACCATAGGCAGACAGCAGAGGTTGGAGCCCCTGCACCAGCCCTGCATCCTCTCCCTGCTGCAGTGAGAACCCTTGCCTTGTTATTCAGTGCCTCCCCAGCTGAGCTTTGCTCTAGTTGCTGCAGGAACAGGGGGAAAGGAACAGGCAAAACTGCTCCTAGAGCCTTTGAAAATGCAGACAAACACCAGTGATAAGCTCAGACCTTTATTAGATGGAAGAAGGGCTAAAACAAAATAAAACTCCTAACACATTCACTGCAGGACAAGGAGGACCAGGAGCTGCCTCCCTGGTCTTTGTTTTTTTTTTAAAAAAGGGGGAACGGACAGGTGAAGTTTCCATTGGTCAGCTCTGGTGATCCTGGGCAGGGTGGCTCAGGGCAAAAAAGAGGTAAGAGACACAGCTTATACTTTTATTTAAACCACTATATTATATTTGCCTCTAATGATGCAAAAGGGAGTTCCAGGACACATTGAGCCATCTGAAGTCTCTTGCTTGAGAAACAAAACCAAAACAAAAGTGTTGTTGTGTTTTTTTTTTTTTTTCCCCATTATTATTTATTTAAAAATTGGAAAATAAAAAGGTGAGGCTGCAGCTCAGGGCCACAGTGACCAAACTGCCCATGAGTTCATCTTCCACAGCAGGAGGACAGGGGGAGACTAAAGAAAAGGGAAAGACCACAAAACATTTTTTCCTTTTTTTTTTTTTTTCTCCTTTAAAGTAACAGCTATACTGGGGCTGGAGGCAGAAATTAAACCAACAGGACATATTGATTTTTTTTTTTTTTTTTGGGTGGGGTGGGGGGGCAGGTATCCTTATTTGCCTGAATTTAGAACTGCATTAAATAAATGGGCTCCAGCTCCAATAAAAATGACACAGTTTGCTTTTGACAGAGGTATAAAGCCCATAGAGCTTAAAAAAGGAAGGATGCCCTGGTGCAGATGGGAAATTAATAATTAGTCTGCAAGATGCAGAAAAAACACATTTAGGCTCTATTACATTTACAAATACATACATAAATATATTACAACAGCAACTCAAAGAGGAAGCGGGTGAGTCGCACAGAGGATGGTTGACTGGCTGCAGTTCTCCCCACACAGACATTTGGCTGAGGAGTTACTTCTCCTAATAATTCCAGAAATGGGCTTCAGCTTCTTTTCTCTTCTTTTTTTTTTTTTTTTTTTTCCCTCCTCTCCTTTCATTCTCTCCCCCCTCCCCAGTTTTGGATTTAGTTTGTCCAGTATGGAGAAGTGCCATAGGCAGTTTTGGTAGCCTGAGACTTTTGCTGCATGGTGCTGGGCTGGTTGCGCTGACCAGATCCACCCTAGAAATCAGAACAGGAGGAGACATCAGCATCAGAGGCAGGAGGCCACAAGGAGAACAGCAGGGCTGTGGGAAGCAGAGAAGCATTCTCAAGGTGAATAGAGACTGCACCAGCAGGATGTCAAGTGTTCAGAAGGAGCAGTTACTGCCTATTTCTGGACTCCAAAGCAGAACACTTTTTTTTCAGGGAACATTTACAGTGAGGAAAAGAAACGCACCAGTTGGTGAAATCAAATCAGAAACTGGAGCTGACACGCAAGGGGAAGCTTGTTTTTTTGTTTTTGTTTTTCCCAGTCACAGTGCAAATGCTCGTGTGCTCGTGTCCAGGGAACAAACAGCACCAGCTGCCTCAACCTTCCACCCCCCGCACCCCTCTGTGTCCACATTGCAACAGCCTCTTCCAAACAGGACTTGGCCTCCAGCCCTCCCAGGCTAATAAACAGCGTCTAGTCTGCTAGCCTGCAACCCTGCCAGGCCATATTCCCAGCAAGCAAAGCAAAACAAAACCAAAATCCCACACTGGGAGGTAAGTGGGAGCAACGTGCGCTTTGCAAAAGCTGCAGGGGCTGACTCACCTGCCCATCTTGTTGAAGATGGTGATGCAGCATCTGGGAATGAGGCTGCTGATGTGCAGGCACGATGTGGAGAAAAGGGGCTGGAGCATAACCTGGGGCAGCACCAGGGTTCAAGGGCCCAGTAGATCCGAGAGCAGAGGGCAGGCTGAAAGGAGGCGGTGTGCCAGTGTGGAATCCCTGCTTGTCAAACGTCTGCACGGGAGGCAACGGGGACAGCATCAGAGACCGGCAGGAACAGCCCCACAGTGACCAAACAAGAACAAGAGTGGCCTGAACACAGATCCCTGCACCTGTGAGCAAGCCAAGTCAGGCCAAATACCTGTGGGCACTTCAGATTGAGTTCAACTCCTCACCCGTATTTCTGCACTGATGCTCAAAACTTAATTTTATTTCCATGGCTACTGTGTTCCTTTTTTTTCTCCCAACCTCTTTTTGCTTAGTGGGACATAGGGTGGCAGCAGCTGCCTGAAATCAGTCTATCAGACCTCTCAGGGGCTCAGGCTGAATTATTTGACCTACTCAAGGCATCCTAACAAAAATGCAGGAAGAAATTGCACTAAGGTTTGGCTCCCCCAACCAAAGCTCTGCCCCTAACGCTACACATGTATCCAAGAGCTGCTGTCCTACTCCTGGGCATGAAGCACAGCCTGATGCACACTGCCCTGACAGAGGGTGCAAGGATGGGGAAAGGAGCTGGCTGTAACTCCACTGCATAGCTCATCGAGCACTTTCTGCTCTCCCTGGGAACCTGTGTGCAGAGCAAGAGCCAAAGGTGGAGCAGAGTGGTGCTGGCACCCATGGGAGAGACCCTCAGGTACAGGGGTGGGCACTGCTGGCTCATGTCTCTGAAAAAAAGCTAACATCCTCTTCACTTGTCTGCTTTAGAGGCAATTTTGATTGTCCTATCCTGTTTATTTGCACCCACAGCATGCGTGAGACAGCATGTGACAGTGCAGGGAGCTCTGCGTCTGTGCCAGCAGCTTTGGCCAGGAGTGGACATGGCAGAGGCAGCAGAACAGAAAGCAAGACTCCTCTCCAGCTAGCAGAGCCAGCATAATAAATGCCAAAGCCTGCCGACCCCAAGCCCAAGCTGCCTGGGAACTGTCCCCAGCTGCCAGGGCTCTGGCACAGTCCCACCAAACCACCCGTAATCAGGGAGCCACCAGGGTAGAGGGTCCAGTGTTCCTCACCTGAGTCTTGTTATAGACTGAGCCACTGATATCAGGCACACCTGTGTTACTTGAGGTCACAGAAACACCTGGAAAACAAAAAAGCACTGAAAACAAGAAAGCCAAGCAGCACCCTATGTGTGCTTCACTCCTGGTACCTCAGTGGGGGCACCTGAAACCGCTGCTTCACATGCCCTCCTGCTTGGTGCTCTCAGACTAACAGCACTCCGGCCAGGAGCAGGAGCTCAGCTCCCTGCTGCAGAGCAGGCAACCAGCTGGGGACAAATCACCCATGTCCACTGCGCACAGATTACAGCTGGGATTCAAATGCACTTCACTGGGCAGCAGCTGGCTACGCTGAATACTTTTAGCTCGCAGAAAGCCAGCTTTCCCCCAGGATTAGGGATGCATTTGGCTCTATCACAGCATTCAAGAGCTTTCCAGTAGTGTGCTGAGCAATGAGCCTCAGCAGCTGATACATGCTTATGCCCTTGTCCTTTCGCATCATGCAGAAGGATGAGGCCTGCCCTGCTCCTCCACCCCTACAGAATTAGCATCACTGGCTCAGGCTGGCTTCCACCTGGATCAGCTGGTGCCACAAATGGCTCAGGAACAGACACTTACCAGCAAAGGGACTCTCAAATTGGCCACTCATTTGTAGGTTTACAAGGACAGGATCCGATCACTTGGATCGGATTACAAGCAGTGGTTCCTGTGGCCACTGAATCAGATGCCTGGACTTGGTGGGTTTGCACTGCTCTAAGGCTGTACCCTTCCTAGGAGATTTTACCCTTCCTAGGAGATCTCTCCTTTTTGCAGGCTGCAGAGGAGAGCACGATCAGCTCCTGCTTGAAGACTGATGTCCTGACTAGTCCAGGGGGTGTTTCAAACGCACAACAAGTGCTTGGTATTTGCTTAAGCCCAAGGATGAACTAGTTAGTGCTAAGCAGTTTGGTATACATTTCTCAGGTCTAACCAGCACGTGCAGAATAAAGCTTTCACATGAGCCATGTACATTCCTTAGCCTTTATGGTCACAGAGGACCTGTAGGCATGAAACAATGCAATGAGTTACAGAGCATGGGGACAGCAGCTGAAACAGCCCCAAGATACGTGAACTGCCTGGCTTGCTCTGAATGTACGGCTATCTCAGG